CCTGCCGTCTGCCTGCGGCCACCCGGAGGCAGGAAAGCCGGTGTGCGCTGACCCTCGGCGCCGAGTGATGTCACGTCCCAGGGCCCCGCCTGCCCTCAGGGCCGGTGTTGCTGTTTTTTTCCAGAGACACCACTATGTATGCGGTGTCTGCCGATTCGAAAGGCCTGGACACGGTGGTGGGCTTGCTGGCTGATGTGGTCCTGCACCCCAGGCTCACAGGTGGGTGTCGGGGCCGGTGGGGGCGCGACTGGGAGGTGCAGGGCCCTTCCCGTAGGGACGTGCACTGTATCGTTGGAGACCTCAGCTCACCTGCCCGTGAGTTGGCGCAATTTTATTGGAAGTAACACTGGCGAGTGGCGAGGGGCACGTTCTAGTGCTGGTACTCCAAGACACCAGCTCACCCTTTGACGTGTTAGCAGAATTTGTTCTTTGAGCAGCGCGTCTGGCTGTCTGTAAACATCCTGGTTCGTTCCCTTCCTGGGCCCTGCAAGTGGTGGACTCGCTTCCGCAGGAGCGAGTATTTAAAGGACTGTCGGCTGCAGTTCTGCTCAGGGCTCTCTGGCCTGTGGCCTCAGCACCGTCACACCCATTGTCCTCACATCACACACAGCACTGCGGCCGGTCAGGGCCAGGCCGCCCCGAGGAAGGCAGAGGGACGGCCAGTGTGCGCCACCAAGGACGCTCGGCCCCGCTCTGCTGGCCTGTGGAGCCTGAGCCTGTCTCGTGCCTTCGCAGAGGAGGAGATTGAGATGGCGCGAATGGCTGTCCAGTTTGAGCTGGAGGACCTCAGCATGCGGCCTGACCCGGAGCCTCTTCTCACTGAGATGATCCATGAGGTGAGGCGAGCGCCGAGGCCGCCCTGGGTGCCACCGGGACCGGGACGGTGGGAGGGCCATTCTAACCTTTCCCCGTCCCTACAGTGACTGGGTCGTCCCCTCCATCTAGAGCAGTACAATTATGAAGTAGCAACGAAAATGATTTTATGGTTGGGTCACAACAGGAGGAACTGTATTTAAAGGACCAGAGGGTTGAGAACCACTGATGGAGAGTGGGCCTCTGGACCCTTGGTGACTGTCCTCCCTGGAGGCGTCTCCACGCACGGGAGGCTGTCCTGCGGCTGGGCCAGCGGAGCCGCCGGGGTGGCCGCGCTCAGAACGCGGGGGCCTGCGCCCTGTCACGCGTGCTCCTCGCTTCCGTTGCAGGCCGCTTACCGGGAGAACACGGTCGGCCTCCACCGCTTCTGCCCCGCAGAAAACATAGCGAAGATCGACCGTGACGTGCTCCACTCCTACCTGAGGAACTACTACACGCCGGACCGCATGGTGCTGGCGGGTGTGGGCATCGAGCACGACCACCTGGTGGAGTGCGCCAGGAAGTACCTCCTGGACGCCCGGCCGGCCTGGGGGAGCGGGGCCGCCGTGGACGTTGACCGCTCCGTAGCGCAGTACACCGGGGGCGTCGTCAAGGTACAGGGCAGGGGACCGTGGCCTCGGGTCATAGACGCGCTCTGTGACCTCAGGTCTCGGTTCGTTTGGTTGGTTCTGGGGAGTTCAGTGAACTGCACTCGTGGCTTTGCCTCGAACACGTCCTGGTCTCTACAGCGCACGTTCTCGAAGCCGATGCCTGTGGTGTTTAGCTTCAGCGGGGTTGGGGGTAGATCTGGCTGAGGGCCTGGTGAAGCCTGAGTCACTGTTTGTCCTTGCTGGTTACAGCTAGAGAGAGACATGTCCAAGGTCAGCCTGGGCCCCGCCCCGTTCCCTGAGCTCACGCACATCATGATAGGGCTGGAGAGCTGCTCCTTCCTGGTGAGTCCCGCAGGCTCCCTCCCCGCTGGCCCCGCGCCCCCGGCCCGGTGCGC